GTTCCGGGAGGAGGCGGAGGAGGCGTGGCGGGGGTGGCGGCGGAGGAGGCGGGGGTGGCTGCAGCCACTCCCTTCCTGGGCTGCGGTGCGCCGCCGGGGGCGCTGCCGCTGTGGGCTCGCCCCGCTCTTGCAGGAAAACAGCTGGAGTCGAGAGGGAGCGGCTTTTCGAAAACCTGCTCCGCGAACAAAGCGTAATGTGCATGCCGAATCTTTGGCTTTGGAGGCGTGGCACTGAGGTGACCTGGCTGGCCGAGGGGCCCAGGGGGACCAGCGCTGGGGGAAATTACGGGTGGACAGGCCTCAATGGGTCCAAGTGGCTCTGGAAGATGACCGCAGGGGCTGCGGTGACCCGCAGTTAGGGACGAGTTGACCTAGACCCGAGGTGGCCTGATAGGCTAAGGGAATCAGAGTGGCCAGGAGACTCGACAGGCACAAATGGGGGGTTGTGAAGGTTGGATCGACAGGATTAAGTGGTCTAGGAAGTCTACGGTCTGGTGTAATCTGGCCATTATTAGCGCTTAATTGATACAAGTAAAATGCGGACTCCTCCGGGCGTGGCTTGAAGACCTCGTCTGTTCCGGATTCTGCTGCTTCTCTGAGTTAATCTCGCATTCCCCCTGGCTGGCCTTGTTCCCGCCAGGTCCTTGTAACCTGTTTCCCCGCCCTGCACCCCGCAGTAGAATGAAATTTTTTTTAAAAAGCAGGGATCTTGTCTATCTTGTTCACTTCTGGGCCTAGCACAATGTCTGGACCTGACCTGATGCTGAAATATTTGTTGAATGAATGACTATTGAGAAAAACCACCACACTATTGGTGCCCGATTATTGGTAGCACCACTCCCAGAACTGGACAGACAAGAAAGCATGTCCAAAAAGGGAGACACAGGCAATACAAACCTATACTTAGATCCCTTTGTCAATGTTCTTTCATTTTGGCCCTTTGCAGCCCTCAGGTTGAACATATACTAGATTCTAGGGTGATGGGTGATATCCATCTTAGGGTAAGCTAAAGGGGAAGTGTCAAGGTTTAGTGCCTTTTGTTACTCAGCATAAGCAGGTTTTCATCCCCACCCCCAAATACTGTCATGTTGTATTATTCTCAGGTACAATTTGAACAGCACAAAATTTGAAACTGGACTCAAATCCTGCTCCCAGTTGACTAGCTGGGTGACCTTGGGCCAATTACTTAATCATTCCATGGCTCATATATTAAACAAGCTAATACATGTAAAATGCTTAGAATAGTGCCTGATACCTCTCTCTTTCTCAAATAAATAAAATCTTTAAAAAAAAGAATAGTGCCTGACATATATTAAACATCATATAAGAGATTATTATTGCTCTCTCTAAAATGAATAAAATCTTTTTTTTTT